AATCAGTTTGATCCTTACAAGGCTTGCTTTTATGCTTTGTTAGGTGGGACCAGAGCATCTAATTTTGCCTTACTTCTGAGTACTTTTCAAACTACTCTCCCCAATGCTCTGTTTATTAATGAGCTATTTTTATCCTGGCTGGTGAGAATATGAACTATTTCTGGCCTTGTGTGAGCTCAGGGGAGTTCGTTACCTGCTGTTCTTAGGTATTTTATTGGTCTCTGGTACTTTCCTCACACACATGCACTGACCAGTGCTCAGATGAAGACTCAAGGGGGCTCTCTGCAGATCTCAGGAGTTCTCTTTCTGTGTAGCCCTCATCTCTCCTGTACTGTACTTGCAAAACTTAGACTCCCTGGACTCTCAACTTCTGTCTCTTCAGCTCAGGAGTCTGCCAGGTTCTACCTAGGTTTCCCCTCCCAGTTCTGTGGCCTGGACATTTTTACCATAGTTCCTAACTGAAATTCTTCCCAGGCAGTAGGCTGTGGCAATTGTGGGGCTCACCTCATTAGTTTCCCTCTCTCGAGGATCACAGTCCTGAGATGCCTGATGTTCAGTGCCTGAAAATTGTTGTTTCACCTGTTTTATCTGGAATTGTTTAAGGCGGGAGGGTACTTCTGGTCCCTGTTACTCCATCTTGGCCAGAAGTCCATTGATTCCTAATGAAAATGAACAGTTTTTTTTCATGTGCTTATTGGTCATGTATTACCATTTTTACTTCCACTCTTTTGGTACTTTTACCAGGTTGTAAAGATCTTGTTGGTGGGACCCAATCATTTTTCAGCTGGAGTCTCCTTATGAAAGTAGCTGCCATTTGATTTAAAAGGAAAGGGAAATGTTAAAGTGATTGCAACACTGTTTAAATAAAGAAAAGATTGTGTATGTAGACTGTGTCTGCCTCCATTCCTACCCCGGATCACTTTATCTTTTACACTGCCACCAGAGAGATCTTCCTCAAAGTGCACGTTTGATCATGCACTCCCTGGGTAAAATCTTCGATGACCCTCTCCTCATTAACGTAGCCCATCTGGCCCTGCATGATCAGACCCTTGTTTCTCTAGCTTCTTCATCTTTCTTCTTGCCCCTTGAGCATCAACTGACCTGTACTGCTGACCCTTCTTTCTTTACCACGTGTGTACTCTCATGTCCCATACTTTTGCACATGCTGTGATGGTGTACCCCTTTGAGGGCTTTTCCAGCTTCCTTATCCCTGTAAGTCTTTCCCACACCTTCCTAGGCTGAGTTTGGTACTACTCCTTTGTTTCTCTTGCACCTTGGGCTTATATCTGTAGCATTTAGTGGACAGTACTCTAATTATTGGTTTATTGCTTTCTTTCCCCAAGACTCTTAATTTCCCTGAGCATAGGGCCTTCACTTCTTTCTTTCTGAAGTCTCTGTTATGGTAGGCTTGAGCCTTGAACTATAATTCGGTAACCTTTCACCTTTGTTGAAATTTTAGCATTACTTGAGTATGAGTTAGATATAAGGAAAACGTGTAGCATGCTCTACAGGGTAGTTGGGAGACCAGAGTGGAGGATACTAGAATTGGTTGTGAGGTTAATAAAGGTGAAATAAAAGCTTGTGTATTGTTTGTAAGCAGATGTAAGGCTTTGTTCAGTTAGGAACTGCATAAAAATGAGTTACCTTTTGAAAACAATTCTATGACATGCAGAGTGCTTTTTTGTACATAATAGTGTTTAATTATCAAAAACATCTTGAAATGTAGCTGTTATTTTACCTAATTGACAAATGAGGAAACAAATTTAGGAAGGTTAAATTTCTTTTATCTAGGAATGTATAGCTGTTAAGTGTAAGAGCTGGTCTGTTGATGTCAAAGTCTTTTTTACTCTACCTTGACTCTTTTTTGTAAAAAAAACATTGTGTTTTAGGTGAAAGTTTACATAGAAAATTAGGTTCCCATTTAACAGTTTTTATACAGATTGAGTCATTGATTACATGTGTCAGCATTCTCATCATTTCCATTCTGTTTGTCTCCACTGATCTAGCTTCCTTTCCCCTCCTTGCCTTCTCATCTTCGCTTTTGGGTAAACGTTGACCATTTGGTCTTATATAATTGATTGTTTAAGGGAGCGCATTATTCGTGGGTGATATTGTACATTTTGTAAGTCAATATATTATCTGGCTTAAAGGTGATCTCCAGAAATGGCTTCAATTCCAAGTTTAAAGGGTACCGTAGATAGCGTGACAGTCTTGGGGGATCCTCTAGTCTCTGTCAGTCCAGTAGGTCTGGCCTTTTTTAGGAATTTGAATTTTGTTCTACATTTTTCCCCCATTCTATCTGGGACCTTCCGTTGTGTCCCTTGTCGGAATGGTTGTTAGTGGTAACTGGTTACCATCTAGTTCTTTTGGTTTCAGGTTAGAAGAGGCTGTGGTTTGTGTGGGCTGTTAGTCCTGTAGACTAGTTTCTTCTTTGAGCCTTTGATTTCCTTCATTCTCTTTTGATCCAGATGAGTAGAGACCAATAGTTTTATCTTAGACCAGCCCCGACTCTTGAAACATGCAGGGGGCTCAGGGCTGTCAGAATTTTAATGAGTATGTATTTGCTCATATGGTTGTCTTATAAAAGCTAGACATGGGGGCCTGCTGAAGGGTTTGAAGTCAAAGAGAGAGGCAAGGGACCTGGCTCTTTGCTTCTTACTTTCATCCCAATGGACACCTGGTCAGGTCATGTTGAGAAGCAAGGTGGTTTATAGCACGAACAGGATTAAATATAGAGAAGTACTTGTAGCAGTGTGTTGCACATTTTATCTTGTGGTTGCGCTTGAAACATCAGGCAGCAGAAAACTTAATGTTGTTTCCCCCTTCTTCTCCTGCCCTCCTTACTTCAGGAGGATAAAGGAATCCTGTTTTCCATAAAGCAGTATTAACAATCCGTAGGGATCCACTTGGACTCTTTGCAGTAGTTGTCACAGGCATTTTTTGATGATCCCTCTGTGGTATATTGAAAGATCTCGTACTGATCTTGTGTAAATCACCTTTGCTGTGAGAGAGAGAATGATAGAATAAGGTAGGAAAAATCTCCCAGTAAATTGAATTGTCTGCGAGTTGTGATTTTGAAATAGTTCCCCAAACTAGTTGCCTATCCGTTATTTAAAAAAAAAAAAAAAAAAAATCTCAGAATAAAACTTTCTGCTCTAGGATTTAGCAGTGACAATCACAGATGACATCCTGTTTGTTCATTCTCTTACTCAGGTGGAAGCAGAGCAGCATTTCACTGCTGACAGTTTAATATTTCTTAATGTATTTGAAATGTTACATACTGATACACCAGTTTATTCATGCTTATTAGTGAGCCAGTACTTACTTCTCTCTAGGGCCTAGTTCCCCTCTAGAAACAAAGTTGAACTAAGCCACCCATGGTTGATCATCCATTTTGGAAAACTCATATTATACACAACTAATTCAATAATGGGGGATAATTTGTTTTCCTCTTTGGTGGTCTCTTTCCAGTATCCGTATAACTGGGAAACAAATTAATTGTTAAAGATTATTTTGGTAAGTATAAAATCAGGGAAAACAAACAAACAAGACCAAACCCACTGCTGTCGAGTTGATTCGGACTCATGGCGACCTTATAGGACAGAGTAAAACTGCCCCGTAGGATTTCCAAGGAGTGGCTGGTGGATTCAAACTGCTGACCTTTTGGTTAGCAGGCAAGCTCTTTAGAGTCTGGGAAAGAGAAGATGAATTATTGGTTTAAAAGAGAATTTAATTTAAACCATATTTGAACATAAACAGATTATTCTTTCTGAAGGACTGTGTCTACTCAGTAATTGCAGTGTTTACTTAGAATTTACTAACATCCCCTTTTAGAAATAAGCTCCTTAAAGGCAGAGACTGGGTACATACTCTTTTTCTTAGTAATGCATGTGTAATGAATGAACTAAAGCACTCTGTATCCCTGGTCTTCGTAGAAATACGGTGTCCAGATCTCACTATCGAACTGTTCTTTCCTGCATTCCATATTGAGTTTCATATTCCTACTTCCATCTTTTCTGAGATTTGTACTTGTGTTAATTTCTAGGCCATTCCCTGTTGCTTCTGTTCAGCATTTCCTGCTTGCCAGTTTTAATCAGAGAATGTTTCTTCTTGTCAGTTGCTTGATTAATCTTTTATGTATGTTCAGATATCACCCTATTGTTTATTTTTGATTGGATCCACAATAGCAATTGTCTGTTTCTTACATACTCAGTTATTTTTCTCATTAGGCCAAAGAAAGGTGTTATTTAGCTTTTCTTTATAGGTCTTATTTCTCAAACCTTTAAACTCATCCCTGTACCATCTCTAGAGTCTCTTTTTCCTTAGTAAGTTGTGGAGGCCAGAACTGGAAACAGTGTTTGAAAAGAGTATCGATGAATGGTAGAGCCCTGGTGGCACAGTGGTTAAGAGCTTGGCTGCTAACCAAAAGGTCGGCAGGTCAAATCCATCAGTCACTCTTTGGAAACCCTATGCGGCAGTTACCCTGTCCTATAGGGTTGCTATGAGTCAGAATCTACTCGATGGCAACGGGTTTGTTTTTTTTTTTTTTAATTGATAAATGGTGAGTATTAGAAAAGAGTTATCCTGTAGTTTTAACATGCTACATTTCTTTGGGTGAATTAAAGGAATTAAGTGCATATAATCTCTTAAATGCCAGTTGTGTGTTAGGCTATTTTTTATGACTTCCCTAAGGACTATTCTTTCTTACTACACACATATGTATAAACATATTTATACACATACAATATTCGTTTCTCAAACTTTATAACTGATCTTGAAATGAGGTTTTGATCTTAAGTCTGTGTCAGTTAATTAATTTGAGAAGGATAACAGGGCTGCTGTTTAGCAGTAAACTTTTATCTCTCTTCCAGGTATAACACTGCTATTCCTTTTATTTTCATTTGATGTGTCAGTTGTTTCTATTTTTAAAAGGTGGGCAATGTATGCTGTTTGAGTGTTGAATATGTTGAAGTCTGTGTAATCTTCTGTTTTACTTGAAGGAGCGGAGGGATGAAATTGCCACTGTGGAGACCATCAACAATGGCAAGTCCATCTTTGAGGCCCGGATGGACATTGATACTTCGTGGCAATGCCTGGAGTATTATGCAGGCTTGGCTGGCTCCATGGCTGGTAAGACTTGTGACCAGCTGACAAGGAAGCAGAAGAACAGAGTCTAGTGGTGAAGGGCACAGATTTTGGGATTAAGGCAGTTTTAACCTGGGTCCATCATTTTCTATGTGAGTGGCTCTGGGAATTACTTAATGTTTTCTTTGTCTAAACAGAGGACAATAATCCTTGCCTTTTGGGTTGCAGGATTAAGTGAGATAATGTATAGAAAGCACTTAGCATGATACTTGAGCTCTAGGCCAAGTTGCTGAAAAACCAGTTCTCAGTGTGTCAATATCAGTTTTATCTGTTAGCAAAAAATTTTCTTTGACGAGTTATAAAGTTTATAGTAATTTATAATTGATGGTTTGGTAAGACCCAGAAGGGATGTGGGGAGCTAGGATTCTGAGGTTTTTGGGTCCTCAGACTGTTCCCCTGTTGTTGCTTCTTTACCTCTCTCTGCCCCTCACTCTTTCTCCCTTCCCTGCCCCTTAGTCTCTCAGCCTCCCCTCTTTTGTCCCTCAGTCTCTCGCCTTCTGTCCCTCCATCTGCCCCTGCCTCTCAGTCCACCTCCCCGCCCCGTCTCCCTTCTCTTTCTTTCTCTTTGCCTCTGAAGATTTCTTTCTTTCTGCCCCTCAGGCTTTATATCAAAGTATATAACTTTTTAGATATGGTAACCTAATATAGAATATTTTAGTCTAGATATGCTTTTTGATTAACTGTATGTCAGTTTGATCAGAATGTTATTTTCTTTCTATTATAATATTTCATAAGGAGCCCTGGTGGCGCAATGGTTAAGTGCTCAGCTGCTAACTGAAAGGTCAGCAGTTCAAACCCATCAGCTCCTCTGTGGGCGAAAGATATGACAGTCTGCTTCCTTAAAGATTATAGCCTTAGAAACCATGTGGGGTAATTCTACTCCATCCTATAGGATCTCTATGAGTCAACGGCAACGGGTTTTTGTTTTTTTTTTTAAATATTTCGTGGAATTAAAAATATTTTTTTTCTTTCTCAGTAAGATCACATAATCCTAAGAGGAATAATATTTATTAATGTTGAGCTCTTTTTTGTAGGTTTATGTCTAGCATGAATAAATTTGGGCAAGTACTTTTCTGTTTGCATTAGTTTTCCTAAGTGTTAGTGTGGAAGGGGAGTTGCCCATTTCTGAAATTGGGCTTTGTTTACTTTACTATTAACGACTTAATTGAGATTAAATGAATCAGTTCAGCAAGTATTTTTGGTGTTAGCAATCTGATTGTGACAATTTTGTGCACAATGTTGTGTACAATATTGTCAAAGATTTGTGTTTCTGAAATTGTATACTCTGTAGATCCCCTTTAAAAGGAAAAAGACACCCTTTTTAAGTCATTAGTGTTGACTTATGTTATTTGTAATGCTATTATAGCACCTGTAAAACAAGAAAACCACAATGAATGGAAAATTGAATACAAATGAAACTGCAGAACTCATACCGTTCACGTGAGCATGGTTGGATGTCTCTGTTTCGCGGCCGTTCAGGCTGGTGGTAATGTAGACAGACTGCTGACCGTAGCAGGGCTGTCTTTTCTTCTTTGGGTGCCCTCCCTAGCAGCCATGTTCACTTCCATAGTTTTAGCTCTTACCTTCATTGTGGAAGACTCCTAAATCTGTGTCTGAAGGCCTTTACCCTCTGTTGAGCGCCAGACCCAGGTTTCTAGTTGTCTCTCTGGCACTTTACTCTGGACGTCCCGTGGACTCTTCAAATGCAACAGATTTTAAACTGAGCTTGTAGCTTTTTTTTTTTCCCCTAAACCCATTATTCTATATGTAGATTATTAATTCTCTGCTGGACAGTCTTCTAAAGAGAATGCATTTGTCTGGGTGGACTACTCAGCCCACCTTGCTACTTAACAGGAACAATCATTATACCACGTGATAAGTATGTGGAGAGGTGTGAACAGGGCAGGAAGAGAGGCTCAGCTCAGATGCTCCTTTCTTCACAGATCTTCCCAGATTCTGCTAATGGACATGATCATTTTCTTCATTGCAGTCCTCGGAGTACTATATGTTCATACTCTCTTATTGCACTCAGACTCTATCTTGTGTTTTTGTTCTTTCTGTATTTCATCCTCCTTTTGATAGTAAAATGTATCTTTGTGTTTCCCGTGAAGACTGAAAGCTTCATAAGGGCAGGGGTCATATCTATCTTGACATGATTCCCAGCACCTCCTCAGTGCCTTGAACGCTATAGAGGCTTAATAAATGTTTCTTGTAATGGCTGTATTGAGATACAGTTCACATAGGGTCGCTATGAGTCGGAACCAACTCAGTGACACCTAATGACAACAGTAATTCACATAGCATCCAGTTGACCATTTAAAGTGTGTATGTGGCCTTTTGTGACTGGCTTCTTTCACTTAGCAGAGTATTTGGAAGGTTTATGTATCAGTACTTCATTCCTTTTTCTTACTGAATAATATTTCATTGTATGGATATACCATATTCTGTTTATGCATTCATCTATAGATGGACATTTGGGCTGTTTCCACCTTTTGGCTGTTAATGAATAATGCTGCTTTGGACATTCATGTACATGTTTTTATGTGGACATATGTTTTTATTTCCCTTAGATATGTACCTCGGAGTGGAATTGGTTGGTCATATGGTAATTCTGTGTTTATTTTTTATTTTTTTAGTAACTCAGCTTTCATTGCGTCTTTTCAAAGCATTCCCCTTAGTTTTAAAAAAAAAAAAAATTGATGATATGTTGCAAACATACAAAGAGAAAAACAGAATGGATACCTGTTCCTACACTCAACTATATGAATGCTAACATTTTGTCATACTTGCTTCAGAGTTTTCAAAAAGAAATAAACATTACTGATGACATCGGAACCTCCTACACACCCCGTGCTGACTTTACTTCCATCTCTCTCTCCTTATCCATAACAGCTATCCTGAATTTGGTGTTTAGCTTTTCCATATGTGGTTTTTTGTTTTTTTTTTTTTAAATTTTAAAATTGTGTTTTAGGTGCAAGTTTACAGTATACATTAGTTTTTGATTCAAAACTTTTATACACAGATTGTTTTGTGACATTGGTTGCAATCCCTGCAATGTGTCAGCACTCTCCCCCGTTCCCTTTCCACCCTGGATTCTCAATGTCCATCGTCCAGTTTTACTGGCCCTTCCTGCCTTCCCGACTTTGCTTTTGGACAGGTGTTGCCCATTTGGTCTCATGCTTGATTAAACTAAAAAGCAATTTTCTCAGGTTTGTTATTGTTTATTTTATAGGCCTGTCTAATCTTTGGCTGAAAGGTGGACTTTAGGAGTGTCTTCAGTTCTGGGTTAGAAGGGTGTCTAGGGCCATAGTCTTGGGGGTTCATCTAGTGTCTGTCAGACCAGTAAGTCTGGTCTTTTTGTGTAAATTTGAATTTCGTTCTCCGTTTTTCTTCTGTTCTGCCTGGGACCATATTGTGATCCCAGTCAGAGCGGTTGGTGGTGGTAGCCAGGCACCCTCTAGTTCTGGGCTCAGGCTGGTGGAGGCTGTGGGTCATGTGGTCCATTAGTCCTTTGGACTAATATTTTCCTTGTGTCTTTGGTTTTCTTCATTCTCCTTTGCTCTGAACGTGATGGGACCAATAGATGTATCTTAGATGGCCACTTGCAAACTTTTAGGACCTTAGATGCTACTCACCAAAGTAGGATGTAGAACATTTTCTTTATGAACTATGTTTTGCCAGTTGACCTAGATGTCCCCCAAGATCATGGACCTCAGCCCCAGTGACTCGGTCCCTCAAGGTGTTTGGATGTGTCTAGAAAGCTTCTCTGATTGCCTTGGTCAGGTTATGCTGACTTCCCCAATATTGTGTGTTGTCTTTTCCCTTCACCAAAGTTCACACTTGTCTACTAACTAGTTAGTGATTTCCCCTTACCACCCCTCCCTTCCCTCATAACCATCAAATATGTTTTTTTTTCTGTATATAAACCTCTTCTTTTATCATAGTGGTCTTATACAATATTTGTCCTTTTGTGATTGACTTATTTCACTCAGTCCTCCAGATTCATCCCTGTTGTAAGATGTTTCACAGATTCATCATTGTTCTTTATCTTTGCTTAGAATTCCATTATGTGTATGTATCATAATTTGTTTATTGATTCATCTGTTGACGGGCCCTTAGGTTGTTTCCATCTTTTTCCTGTTGTGAGTAATGCTGCAGTGAACATGGGTGTGCATATGTCTGTTCCTGTGATGGCTCGTATTTTTATGGGATATATTCCTAGGAGTGGGATTGCTGGATCCTGTGGCGTTTCTTTCTTTTTTTTTTTTTTAATTAAATGTTTTTTTACATTGTTGTGCTTTGAGTGAAAGTTTACAATTCAAGGTAGTCTCTCATATAAAAATGTATACATACATTGTTATATGACCCTAGTTGCTCACCCTATACTGTGACAGCATATTCCTCCTTTCCACCCCAGATTTCCCATGTCCATTCAACCAGATCCTGACCTTCTCTGCTTTCTCATCTTGCCTCTGGACAGGAGCTGCCCATTTATTCTCATATATCTACTTGAGCTAAGAAACACATTCTTCATGAGTATCATTTTATGTCCCATAGTCCAGTCTGATCTTTGTCTGAAGAGTTGGCCTCAGGAATGGTTTTAGTTTTGTGCTAACAGAGAGTCTGGGGGCCATGTCTTCTGGGGTCCTTCCAGTCTCAGTCAAACCATTAAGTCTGGTCTTTTTACTAGAATTTGACTTCTGCACCCACTTTTCTTCTCCTCCATCAGGGACTCTCTGTTGTGTTCCCTGTCAAGGCGGTCATTGGTGGTAGCTGGGCACCATCTAGTTCTTCTGGTCATCCTATGACATTTCTATTTCTGTCTCGGCTTGTGTTAGTTTAGGTAGGTAGTGTGTTTCTAGATATTTGTCCATTTCCTCTAGGTTCTCAAATTTGTTGGAGTACAGTTTTTCATAGTATTCTGTTATCCTTTTTATTTCAGTTAGGTCTCGTGTAATGTCCCCCATCTCATTTCTTATTTGGGT